GAACGTAAAGTAAAAAATAAGGAAACAGGACCTCATCAAATTAAAAAGCTTCTGCATGGCTAAAGAAAACAGCATTAAAATAATCTTATTTTTTAAAAAGCAAGTATTGTGTTTAAAAACAGCAGTAAAAATGAAGTGTATGGCCTGTGGCCTAGTCCTACTAGGCTTGTGGATGACAAACTTCCATCTGCTTCTCATACACCACACTGCCTTTTATAGACTATGACAGAGTAGACCCAACATAGAAAGGCATTGTCACTGTGGATTTTGGGGGAAAGAAGCGAGAAGAAATGAGGGCCACATTTGGGGGGATCTTTGCATAATTCTTTCCTGTCACTGTACTTTGATCCCCAACTTCACAAGTTCTGACACCAGGATCACTTCCCTGCATGGAATGAGGGTGTGGACTAAGTTACAGGACAGATGACAGGTGTGCACCCATGTTCTCATCTTGTCTTGCCTCAGAATTCAACAACAAAAAGGGAACAGGCAGATGAGTAAGAGACTACTAGACTTTTTGATGAGAAATAATTCAGAGTTTCTCAAGAGAAATGGGATACCTCTGGGGGAGGAGGGGAACCAGACAGCTTTTCCCTCCCTCACACTTTATTACTTATTCCCTCAGTGACTGAGTGTTCCCAAGATGACTAGGTGAAATAGCCCATGTTCACATCACAGTGGTGGGAAAATGAAAAGTAATAAAATTCACCAATACATCTCATAAAGATCTAGTGTCCAAAATTTGTAAAGAATGTACAATACTGAACACCAAAATCAAGCAATCCAATTTAGAAACATTGATGAGGCACTTCCGCCAAGATGGAGGCATAGGTGGAGATGTGCTTTCTCACACAACCGAGTTTATAGACAACTAACTATTAGCAACAGAAAACACAGCCAGAACACAGACAATTGAACTTTTCGGAAGTCTGTTAACAACAAATTCTTCAGCCTGACCGGTAAGAGAGGCAAAACCAGCAGCTGGCAGAGCAGCCTAGCACAGGAAAACTCAGTCAGACTTACTCAGGCATGCAGAATTCAGGCGCAGGGTTGGACCTAGTGAGAGACCCAGCGAGTGACCTCGGGGAAACAGTGAGGGAGCAAGGATGCAGATTGACTGTGGTCGCACATTCGTGTGCAGATAGACAAGCGAGGGAGTGGGTAATTGGATGAGACCCAGCAGGTCCCCATAGCGAGCGGCAGCAGAGGGCATTTCCCTGCTCTGACCATGCCCCCACATACAGCATCACAAATCAGCGACCTGGGAGTCCAAGGCTCTGCTCCTCACACTTAACGGGTGCAAACAGATCAAAAATGGCTCAAGAAGATCTCAAAGCCCCAGAGCCTATAAATCTAAGTGATGAAGAAATAGCAAAACTCTCAGACGCAAAGTTTAATACACTGGTGATCAGGATCCTCACAGAACTGGTTGATTATAGCCAAAAATTAGAGAAACATATAAAGGCAAAACTAATTGAAATGAATAAAATTGCACAGGAAACTATTTTATTATTTCCTATACACTGTAACCATAAGAAGAGTTTTTCAGGGTTTTTTTAAAAGACACATTTATTCAACATCATGATAAGACTATTTTGAGCAATCAATAGCATGGGAAGAAGGATGGATAAAGAGAGAGAGGAAAGAGGAAAGAGAGGAGAGAGGAACAGGGAGGGGGAGAGAGGGAGAGGGGGAGAGAGAAAAGAAAGACTACAGTAAAAACCCTTTGTGGGAATGCTTTATACTTTCCACAGAACAGAAACTAAAATAACCTGTTATATAACTAGTCACAAATACAGTCCTGGTGTTTTTTGCCCATTCACATGAGTATTGTCTGAAATATGTCTTCTTTGTAGCAACTAGGCCCTGCCACCACTGTGCTTGGCTGAGTTCACAAATCTCTTGTGACCTGTACCTACCCCGTCACTTCTCTAGTTCTCCTCTCCTAAGCTTTCTTTCCAGCAGTAATTAAAACCTTCTGCCATGGCCACGGCTACTGCTGCAACCACCTTACTTCTCAGTTGTGGCCACTTCCAGCATGTTTTTTCTGAGGGACAGTGTTGTCTACAGAGTCATGTTCATCAAAGGTTGCAAAAGTGAAGCCTCTCTTTTTGCCACTGGCTCAGACAGTCATGATTTCAATCACTTCAACTTTCTCACACTGTTCAAAATCATCTCTAAGGTGAGGTCCTCCAGTGACTTGTTTAGTACCACCTACAAAAATCTTCCTCACTGTGTGAGGTGGACACACAGTCCTTGAGAATCTTCTATTGAGACACCCCTCTTTGGTTCCACAACTCTTCCACCCATCTTGTGTGGTCTTGCATTCATGGCTGCATCCACCCTCTCCACAATGGCATATGTGACAAACCCAAAGCCTCTGGAGGGCTGGAGTGTTTGGATCTCTTATCATCACACAGTCTGGGAGTGGTTAGCTCCTCAGACTCTCATCTGCTGTTTCAAAGCTCAAACCTTCAATAAATAAATTCCACAGCTCTTCTGGCCCTTGGGGGACTCTTCCTTAGATATGATGACTGCTGGATAGGGGACTTCAATGATGTTACTGAGCAGCATTGTGGGCATAAAGGAGTAATCTAATGGAAGTATCTCCACAAGAAGAGTTCTAACCATTTAGCAAACACTTCCAAATGTCACAGAATGATTGTAATTTTTCTCACTTAGTAGGACTCATTTGAAGTTTCAGTTTGAATGGTCATTTTTACCACCCCGTACTATTGGCCTGGATAGTAAGGATGTATTATTCAATGATATTATCAACAGCAAACATTTATCAAGAACATCCCAGTTCCTAACTAACCTACAAAAACCCACTAGGCCTGTTATTGAAGACTCAAGATAGATATACACTGGCCTGCTGCACTTCAGCTCTTCTATTATTTGCTTCCCAGATTCAATGCGCCATCTACACGTACAAATCTTTTCTGTTACTACTTCCAAGTTCTGCCCACATCCAGTGTCTTCATCTCAAAGGTGGGAAAAAAATCATGTTATCCAACCTTTGCAAAAAGGGGCTGGGGAATGTCTGACTGGCATGACCTGCATGGCATAGTTAATCCATCAAGAGCAACAGGGGCATTAAAACACAGTTCTGCTTCCAGTATACACAATGAGGCCTACTTCTGTAGTGGTAGGAAAACAGAACCTAAGTTAATTAGGTTTTATTTTCCACCCATATGATCACACAAAACTACTAGCAGAGAAAAAATATTCCGTATTTGCTGAGCCTCTCATTACTTGGATATTTTAAATCATCTGCATTCAGAGATGCAGATGATTTGTACACCAGTAGAATTTAATAAGAAATATTTAAACATTTCACACTTCAGTGTATCCTGGATGGGTTCCTGGGACAGAAAATGGACATTTGCAAGAAACGAAGAAAATGTGAGTTTACTATAGACTTCAGTTAATAATGCATCACTACTGGTTCATTAATTGTGACAAATGTCCCACACTAATGTAAAATAACAGGAAATTGACTATGAGGCACAAGAAAATTCACAACCTTCCTGTAAATCTAAAGCCATGGTAGCACAAAGATTTCTTTTAAAAGCTACTGTGCATACTCCTCACCTAACAGTGACATTTTATTAGCGATGGGATATAATGACATTTTTGAACCATAGGTACTGTATGTATTGATTTCTATTCCCTAGAGTAGTGATTTGTTATGTTCCGCAGAATCTATTAGAAAGGGAAGTGTGAAAGCCACTCTAGTCTAAAGGACAGTAAGGGGCATGATTTGAGGAATATTCCAATTCATAGTTCCTCAAAACACAGAACACTAGACTGAGGGTAAAACAAAACCTGCATTCTAATACTGAATTAGTAACCAACTATGTCAAACACTTCATTTCTTTAAGCCTGTTTTCTCATCTGCAAATAAGAGCACTCACGTATGTTTCAGCTTAAAGGTCACAGTCCAACTAGAAATTTTTCCCCAAAATGTTTCTTCTACTAAAAGTAAAATATGTCATTTAGATAACACACATTAGAATGCAATACTTTAATACAGGCCAAAAGAATTTGTCAGGATTTTTTCAGTCTCCTTGGCCTATTATCAACCAACTACTCAATTTTTTCAAGAGCATTTTGACATAAATAAAAGGTGTGTATTATATTCATATAACTCACTTATTTTTACATTTGAGGCTACACCACATTTATTTCACAAATATACAGGTACTGCGTACCTCCTTTGCTACCAAGAAGAAAACAATACAAAATATAGCTAATAAAAAGTATAATTTAAAAATACTTTCAAAATATGTTCCCAAGTTGTTTCTGCATTCATCTCTTTACCATTTCAATAACACTGTCAATGACAGAAAGCATGGAAAATGCACCAATGCAATAATATTAAATACACAAGGGAAAATTTTCAGCAACAGTTTTAAAACAAATAGTTGTTTAAGAAAGCTCTTTAACTGCCAAAAAGACCTTCTTTTTATTACTCTGAGTTTCATAAATCCAAAGACAAAATTAAACTGCAACAATAAGAAGACTAAATAGCAACTAGAAAATGCAGACTTTCCATGTTAAAATATGCTAATCTTCTAGCAGCCACTACTATAGATTCTTATTGGCCTTCCACAAATGACTAAGTGTGGTTAACAAAACTACCTACCATACATTATCATGTAATAATTGGTCCTTTCAAAATTATTTTTATACTTTCATATCTTCAATGTTAAAAAAATTCATCATGTTTAAATAAACCATGTCACCCATAAAACGAAAACTACCAATCAAATTAAAATGCAGTGGCAGTTCAGTTCAGCGGGTGCCAGGAGGGCCAGTGCTGAACAAATTGTGGATCACTGGTGGGGTCTGCAAGTCAGAGCGCTCCGGAGGGTGGAGGCTCCGAGGAGAGTGCCTGCCTCATTTTACCCCTCTTCATTGCTAGCGCATCGGCCTCAGAGAACTCCAGGCAGCATCCCAGGTCATTCTGTCCCGCAAAGGAAACAGAGCCATTGACCATGGTTGCAGCTGGCAGGTTGACCAGTAAGAACCCAGGCAGCATTTCAGAGTTGGTGGACCCTGGCTTTTACCTGAGTAGCCTGCTAAATGATTTTGACTACTGGGATTATGTTGTTCCTGAACCCAACCTCAGTGAGGTGATATTTGAGGAGACCACTTGCGAGAGTTTGGTTAAAATGATAGAGAACTGCCTGTCCCAATCAGAGCAAACCAAACTGGGTTGTTCAAAAGTCCTGGTCCCTGAGAAACTGACCCAGAGAATTGCTCAAGATGTCCTTTGCCTCTTCTCCACAGAGCCCTGCAGCCTGCAAGGCTGTGTTATGAACGTGATCATGGAAGTTGGAAATGTATGTATAAAGCTGGATAAGATAGTGTGTGAGTCGACTGTGGTGCCTACTTTTGAGCTGACGTTGTTTAAGCAGGAGAACTGCTCATGGACCAGCTTCAGGGACTTTTTCTTTAGTTGAAGTCGCTTCTCATCCAGCCTCAGATGAACCATGATCCTAAGCTCAGAATTTCTTGTTAAGAAAAAGAAGAGCGCTTTACTCCATGATTGGAACAACAGTCATTGAATGCTGAATGAAAACATTTAAAAAGGTCCTTTTATGATTGGGTAATAAAACTCTGCAGCTGCTCAGTTATGGTCATTGTAGTTTACTCTGCCTATTCTTAACAAGAAACCCCAAATCAAGTTCATCTTCTGTATTTAGTCTCAGCAATCTGTTATTTTGTGGCTTTTGAGAAATGACTCCAGTGTCTGCATTCTATCACCTTTTTTTCTTTACCAAATGGAATGGCTTGGAATAAAGAAGGGAAAGGAGCAATGCACTTTAGATTTGTATTTGACTCCACAAAATTTTCCATGTAGTCTAGCTAATGCACTAGTAAACCAACTTTGCTTAGTTTTATTTTTATATAGCTATTTGTAAGTTTTTCAGATTGATCCCATCAATCACAATGAGTTATGCTTAGTCCATCAAAACTTCCAGAAGCCCAAACCACCAATTTCCTGCCTCTATTTTAATTTGAAGAGTTCTTTTACAAGAGGATAGAATTAAGTGAGTGAGCATCATTAAAACTAAACCCCATGCAAGAGTGAATAGAAATGTCACCAGGAGAACAGAATGCTTCACCGTTTTCTTGTATTCCCTCTGCTCTTCTGTTCTAAAGAGGTGGCAAAATCTTGAGCTGCCATTTGAGCAACCTCAATATTGTTTTAAATAACTTTATGGTATAATACAAGCTCAGTTTTTCTAATTCTCAAGTATTGAATGATATCTTTAAACTAGAAAAAAATGGAAAATGTTGAGCTGTTATTTTACTTAGAGTTGATTACTATTCCATTACGTGAATGCATGTGGGAATAGAACATGAGTTCTCAGATCTCGTCACTTTCTGATTATCTAGCCTCTTTTCACTAATCTCAGATGAACCTTCTGACTACTCAGTGATATCCCTAGCCTCTCCAAAGATCTCTCAGGCATCTCTCCTTTACCAAAATCTTCAAAGGAGATAGCTGCAGACCACCATTTTTCTCTATTAAGAAAAAAAGGTGGGGTAGCAATTCTCATATCGGACAAAATAGACTTAAAAAAAAAAGGGCCGTAAAGAGAGATCCAGAAGGTCACTTCATTATACTCAAGGGAAGAATACACCAAGAAGACATTAACATTGTAAACATATATGCACCAAACATAGGAGCACCCAAATATATCAAAAAAATCTTGGAGGACTTCAAGAAAGATATTGACAGCAACACAATTATAGTAGGGGATTTTAATACCCCACTATCAAAATGAAAAGATCTTCCAAACAAAATGTCAACAAAGATATTGCAGCATTAAACAGCATCCTAGATGAAATGGACTTAACTGGTATATATAGAGCCCTTCATGCCAAAGAAGCTAAATACACATTCTTTTCAAATGCACATGGAACATTTTCAAAGATAGACCACATGATAGGACACAAAACGAGCCTCAATAAATTCAAGAAAACTGAAATCATACCAAGCATCTTCTCTGACCACAAGAAACTACAATTGGAAACCAACCCCAAAGAAAAAAACCCAAAAGCACACAAAATCATGGAAACTGAACAGTATGCTATTAAACAACGATGGGTCAAGAATGCAATTAGGGAAGAAATCAAAACGTTTCTGGAAACAAATGAAAACGACTCACAACAACTCAAAACCTATGGGACACAGTGAAGGCACTCCTGAGAGGGAAGTTTATAGCAATACAGGCTTACCTAAAGAAGATAGAAACATTTCAAACAAACAACCTAACCCTATGCCTGCAAGAACTCGAGGAACAACAACAAAGACAGTATACAGCAAGCAAAAGGAAGGAAATAACAAAGATTAGAGCAGAATTAAATGACATAAAAACTAAAAGCACAATTCTAAGCATCAGTGAATCCAGGAGTTGGTTCTTTGAGAAGATAAACAAAATAGACAAGCCTTTAAGTAGGCTCATCAAGAAAAGAAGAGAGAAGACACAAATAAACACAATCAGAAATGAAAGAGAGATTACAACTGATACCACAGAAATAGAAGGGATTGTAAGAAATAACTATGAAGAACTGTATGCCAAAACGTTTGAAAACCTAGAAGAAATGGATACATTTCTAGAAAAATACAATCTTCCAAAACTCACTGAAAAAGAAGCAGAAAATATAAACACACCAATAACAGCAAAAGAAATTGAAGCAGTAATAAAAAAAAACTCCCGTCACACAAAAGCCCTGACCAGATGGTTTCACAGGAGAATTCTACAAAGCATTTGAGGAAGAGCTAACCCCTATTCTCCACGGACTATTCCAAAAAATCCAGAAGAATGGAAAACTCCCAAATTCTTTTTATGAAGCGAAGATCACCTTAATGCCAAAACCAGATAGAGACATAACAAAGAAAACTTCAGGCCAATATCGCTGATGAACATAGATGCTAAAATCCTCAACAAAATATTGGCAAATCACATCCAACAATATATCCAAAAGATCATACACCATGACCAAGTGGGATTCATCCCAGGGATGCAAGGATGGTTCAATATTCAAAAATCAGTAAATGTAATACATCACATAAATAAAAGCAAAGGCAAAAATCACATGATCATATCAATAGATGCAGAAAAAGCTTTTGATAAGGTACAACACCCATTTATGATAAAAACACTCAGCAAAATGGGAATACAGGGAGCATTTCTCAAAATAATAAAGGCCATATATGAGAGACCTACAGCCAATATCATACTCAATGGGAAAAAAAATAAAAGCTTTTCCACTAAGATCAGGAACAAGACAAGGATGTCCACTTTCACCACTTCTATTCAATATAGTATTGGAAGTTTTAGCCACAGCAATCAGGCAAGAAAAGGAAATAAAAGGCATCCAAATAGGAAAGGAGGAAGCAAAATTGTCACTATTTGCAGATGACATGATAGTGTACATGGAAAATCCTATAGACTCTACCCCAAAACTGCTCGAACTAATTAATGAATTTGGCAAAACCGCAGGATACAAAGTCAATATTCAGAAATCAAAGGCATTGTGGTATACCAACAATGAATCAGCAGAAGCAGTAATCAAGAAAAAAATTTCTTTTGATATAGCAAAAAAAGAATTAAATAAAATATCTGGAAATAAACCTAACAAAGGAGGTAAAAGACCTGTATGCAGTAAACTACACAGCCCTGAAGAAAGAAATCAAGGAAGACACAAACAAATGGAAACATATACCTTTTCCATGGACTGGAAGAATTAACATCATCAAAATATCCATACTACCCAAAGCAATATACAGATTCAATGCAATACCTATTAAAGTACCAATGGCGTATTTCACAGACATAGAACAACACTTCAAAAATTTATATGGAACCATAAACGAGCCGGTATATGAGAAAGAACAAAGTAGGAGGGATCATAATACCTGATACCAAACTGTATTACAAGGCCACTGTAATCAAAACAGCCTGTTACTGGCATAAAAACAAGCACATAGACCAACGGAATAGAACAGAGAGCCCAGAAATCAACCCAACTCTCTACAGTCAATTAATATTTGACAAAGGGGGCAGTAACATAAAATGGAGTAAAGATAGCCTCTTCAACAAATGGTGTTGGGAGAACTGGACAGCTACGTGCAAAAAAAAAAAAAGAAACTTGAACAAAAACATACACCATACACCAAAATAAATTCAAGGTGGATAAAAGACTTAAATATAAGACTTGAAACCATTAAAGTCCTAGAGGAGAACATTGGCAAGAAAATCTCAGATATTTCACACAGCAAGATTTTTACTGATATGTCCCCCTAGAGCAAGGAATATAAAGGAAAGAGTAAACAAATGGGATCTCATCAAAATAAAGAGCTTCTGAGTGGCTGAAGAAAACAGTATTAAATTAAAAGTCAACCAACTGTTTGAGAAAATATATTTGCCAATGACACCTCAGACAAGGCTTTAATCTCCAAAATATACAAAGAACTTACACGACTCCACTCCAAGAAGACAACCAACCCAATTAAAAAATGGGAAAAGGACTTGAACAAACACTTCTCCGAGGAGGACACACAGAACATTCAGAGACACCTGAAGAGATGCTCAATATCGCTAGCTATCAGAGAGTTGCAAATTAAAACCACAATGAGATACCACTTTACACCAGTCAGGATGGCTATCATAAACAAAGCAACAAACAACAAATGTTGGAGAGGTTGTGGGGAAAAGGGGTCCTTAGTTCACTGTTGGTGGAATTGCAGACTGGTACAACCATTATGGAAAACAGTATGGAATTTTCTCAGAAAAATAAAAATCATCCTGCCTTTTGACCCAGCAATTCCACTGCTAGGATTATATCCTAAGAATCCTAAAACATCAATTTCAAAGAACCTATGCACCCCAATGTTCATAGCAGCACAATTTACAATAGCCAAGAGTTGGAAGCAACCTAGGTGCCCATCACCTAGGGCATAAATGAATGGATCAAAAATTGTACATATACACAATGGAATTCTATGCAGCAGAGCAAAAGAAGGAACTACTACCCTTTGCAACAACATGGATGAAACTGGAAAGCATTATGCTGAGTGAAATAGGCCAGGTGTTGAAAGACAAACACCATATGATCTTACGTTCAACAGGATGCTAAACAACAAAACAAACAAGCAAGCAGAAAAAAAAAACAAAGACACTGAAATAGAGAACAAGGGGACAGTGACCAGAGGGGAGAGGGAAGAGAAGTTAAGGGGGAGGGATTTGGAGGAACAAATAGGAAGGACACAGGGATGAGAACTAAGGGGGGTGGAAATGGGAGGGAGGTGGGGAGCATTGGTTGGGGGAGGCTGGGATGGGAGAAATAGACAAAAAACTGTACTTGAAAAATAACTAAATAAAAAATTTTTAAAAACTTAAAATGCAGCATTTTATTACTTTATTTTCAATCATCTACAGGTACTAAGTACAATTCTTAAAAGGTAATGGCTTCATCATAAGCACACCGGATTTCAAACATCAAGTGCAGTAATTGAAGTTGTAACACTGAAAGGTCACTATTTTGTGTCCCTCAAAGGGTGCACCACTTCCATAAGTACCACTATACCAGGTCGATGCTTGGAGTGGATGAAGCAAGATCCTATTCCACCTGCCAGCTCCAAAATTCCATTTAAGATAACATCCTCAAAGAGAGAATGTGTCAGGTATTAAACTGATAATAACAGATACTACACTTGATATCAGCCAAAAGGAAGAGAAGTGATGAAAGGGTCACTTTTTGAATAAGTCTTGCTTCATTAGTTGCTCTCACTCAAAGTATACTGAAGGGTTTCCCCCAGGCTAATATCACTGAAAGGCTTACTACCTTTGACACCTGAAAATAATAAAGATGAGATTTAAGACAACTATTCATTAAAAGGTACATAGACTGTATTCTTAGGTATTACCTTAAAACTACCAATCACAATAAACTGAAGGCTTCCATTTTGGCACATAATTTGAAATTTATTTTTATTATGCAATGAGAACATGAAACATTAAACCACACTGTTCTATAACCTGGTTTCCAAAGTTCATCTGTATTAATTTTTTAAGGTAGAAGATATTACCATTTTTAACTTAACATTTTTTAAATGATCAAATTTCTAAAACCTCATCATTAAAACTTACTTTCAAAGTCTGTGCTCATAGTGTTAGGCCTGGAATTAGATAAAAGTAGCCAAGAGGAACCCAAAGCAGGCTCCAGACTGTCTCAGCAAGGAAGATAGAAAGTACAGAAGTACAAAGAGTGCTGAACAAGATAAACCACCTTGTGCATGACCTTGTCCTTGCAGAAAAGTATTCATTGTTGCAAGCAGAGAACACAGCCATGTGTGTTCTCTTGAGAGAGCCAACTGCTAACAGCTATGTCTGCTTCTGTATTTGCTTTTTTCCTCACCCCAATAAAAACCCTAGGCTGTAAGCGCCAGGTGTGACTCTCATCTGCAGCCATTTTGGCACCGTGTCTCCACACACCCCAATAGCTCACCCCTGTGCAGGTAAAACTTTGAAACTTTGGCCAATAAATTTTCATCTTAAACTCCTGAAAGCTTCCGACCATTTTTTGCTCGCATTGGTGGATGCTACAATAGCAAACTAAACACGGTATACAGGAGTTGAGCAGCTTCTCTCAGCAAACAGTTCTTCAGTTCACCTTCATTTTCTTCTGACCTTTTATTTTCTTTGCAATGCAGTTTTCCTCTTAGTGAAAAGAGATAATACGCACCACATCAAGTAAGAACGGTCAGCTTTCCGTAATTACAAAGAGCAACAGTCCTCTTCCCCTTAGTCCTCTCCTCCTCTACCCACATCCAGGAGAGTCCAGGGGAAGCCGATCCCCCTCCACTCCCCGCAGGATGCTGGGTAACAGGGCAACTCCTGGACTGTCTGAGGTGCAGACCCCCCACCTTGGGCCTCTCCACCTCCCTCCCGCACCACATTCTGCCTAAGATTCCCACAGGCACCCGCAGGACCCTGCATGTGCGCCTGGGCCTGGGTCAGCCGGGCCCAGGATGACCAGCATGGCACGGCTGAGCTGTGAGCAGGAACACCAACGATCACCCTGGATAGTGGGGCCCCACACTCCCTGCTCCAGGGCTTTTCTCCACCAGGAGGCTGGCAGCGGAGAAGCCGCACTCCGGCTTCACGGACGTGGTCAGCACCAGTGGCCAGGAGCAGATGGAGGGGCAAAGCCCTGTCCAGGTGGGAAATTGAGCAGCCTGGCCCCAGAACCGACCTGTGGAGACTGCCATCTTCTCCTGCTCTGGAGGCAGCCATCTTCCTGGCCTGTGACTTCATGCATCATTTCCAGAACTGGCCCAGCTGCCTGCCCTGCAGCTTCTGTTCTGGCCTAAGGGCAGTGGGGCTTCAGGCAGGTGGGGAAGAAGCTACTGAGCTCTTATACCATATGGGCAGCTTTCCAATTCTGAGATGACCTCAAAATAAGACATTAAACAAAGAGTTTATTGAGAGACCAAGTTGAATCAATCACCATAATGTAAAGCAGAGACAAACAAAATACCTTTAAGAAACCATGTACAATGGGGCTGCTTATGCCAAGACAGCATGGCTTGAGAGGTGCTGGAAGGGAGCGGGTTTCCAAACTCCTATTTTGTTTAAATATACCCAGTATTTGCCATGTATAATACACCCTGTATTGCTCACATTTTTAGGGGAACATAAGGTTGTGCAGTATACACAAGTAGCACCTGAATTACCTTGTATCTGTTCTTGTGTGTTCTACTATTCATTCCATGAAATTTTTGTACCATAGTATGTTCCAAAATAAATGCCAATTTTTAAAAATAAAACAAAAACATCTAAATATAAACAAATATTTAAATTTAAAAATTAGGAGGATTTCCCCCCTGACAGTTGGGCCAACATGGGGGTGCATGTTATTCACAGCAAAATGTGATGTGTATTAAACATCTTATTAAGAAGGTAGAAAGGAAGAAAATATTACCATTTTGCCACAGCATGGATGCACCTTGCAGTCATTATTAGTGAATTAAATCAGGGAACAAATACCATAGGATTGTGCTCATGTGGAATGCAATGACCAAAATAAAAACAAACTGGTACATATAGAGACAGCTGTCAGAGGGGAGGAAAGTTTGGGTGCTCCATGAAAAACATGAAGGGGTTAAGCAAAAAAAAAAATTCATAGATATAGATAACAGTATAGTGATTAACAGTATAGAAGGAAAGCAGGTGAGAGAGTTAGAAGATAAATGGGAAATAAATGGTGATGGACAGACTTGATTTGGGATAGTGAACACATAATGAAGTATACAGGAGGTGTATCATAGAATTGTGCACTTGAAACTTATATACCAGTAACTATTTTTGAATTTTAATTTTTTTACCCTCACCTGAGGGCACTTTTCATTGCTTCTCATGTAGGGGAAATGGAAAGAGACAAACATCAATGAGAAAGAGAAACATCAATTGCTGCCTCCTGCACATGTTTGGACCGGGGATCCTTGGTTCATGATTAGGGATCAAACCCACACCCTAGGTATATGCCCTGACCAGTAATCAAATCTACAACCTTTCAGTTACAGGATAATGGTCCAACCAACCAAGCCACACAGTCTAGGGGCATTGGGAGTGGTGCTCAGTCCACAGAGGCCTGCCTAGCCGCCAATCTGCCATGGTTGAGAATCAGTCTATCAAGACATCATCTGCTTGGGGAGGAAAGGTGGCCAATCTCTCAGAGGAGAAGGGTGTTGAGCCTGTTTTTCAGTGGGCTTTTATTGGGTTCGATCTGCATAGGAATACAGGGTATATAAGTAAACTCAATAATCATTATCAGGCAGTGATCATCAAACGTTCAAAGAACGATGAGGGTTTATTCTGAGTCAGGGCCAGATAGCCAAAGTGACAAAAAACTATAAGAAACAAATTTTATGCTTGGATCCTTATCTTTTAAATTGAGGATATTAGCAAATCATGTTCCTCAAGATTTTATTCATGGTTTCCTAGTCTTAATCATTCTGGGGAACCCGTTCTTTTCAGCACTGGGCTATGCCCACCTCTGCATTGTTTTGGGCTTAAGTCTAGTGGGGGATGAAGGCAGCCAAGAGATTAGGAGGCTTCTTACAAACAGAATGAGGACTCAGGCAATGTCAAAACAAGGGGTGAGGGTCCGTCACCCTGTTGTTCTATTGCCGCGGTCCAGCCGCAGCGGGTCAGGGGGTCCCACAGGTGAGGGTAGGCGTCGGCGCTGGGTAACAGACGACAACACGCCTCAAAGGACAGTGAAGCTCTGTTCCGTTTATTGAAAGTACAAGCAGGTTTTTATAATTTTCATTTCAGGTAGTGATTAATATTTGCAGTATAACATGATCATTTAAGCAGAAAAAATCAACACAAAGGCAATCAGTAAAAGTACAAAAGTTCTCATAGATTCAGTTAAAAATTATTTTAACTAGGAGAGCCATTAATCAGACAGTTAAAAATATCTTATTGTATACCAAAGTTTCTCAGAATTTGGTATAGGGTATAAGGATACGCTAGACTGAGTAGAGAAAATAGGAGATTTATTATGAAGCCCTCGTGATGTCTAACTTAGCTATCTACCTTTTTTTTTTGCTTAAAATGTTTTTTCAGTGTACCATAAATTCTGACTCCCTAGTGACTGTTCAGTTTGTAATAACTAACTAGCTTTTGTTATTACTTTGCCTGTCTAGTTGATATATATTCCTATTCAAGGTAAAGGAGGGGGCTATTCCTATGTAGCAGGGGGCTTTCAAGGGTACTTCTTTTAAGTTTCTCTAGGAGTTCTTTTTATAAACATGTATTGCACTTTAATTCCTTCTAAGAAAGTAGTGAGATCATCTCCTGATTTCCTAGAGTATTCTATCTTATCTTGGGTGTTTTTCTAATGATTGTTATTGATTAAGCTTGAATTCTCAGATTGTTCTGATTGTTTCCTTGTGCCTATATTCCCTGACGTTCTAGTATGATATTATTATTCTGTTTATTGAGCCAGGAAAGGTCCAGGCACACTATCTGAATCACTGCCAGGGTATTCATAATGATTAAAGCAAAAAGGTCATGATCTCCAAAGCAAGCACAATCACAATAGGTATTGCAAGGCCTTCCATGCCACGTCCACCAGGTTGGAAATTGCTTCCTTGAAGTCTTACACCCCCTCTCAGGACCTTGTCACGGAGAGAGGGATCCAACAGTGGACGCGGCAGTGGACGTGGCATTCTATAGTCCTCCAATTCCTTCCCCAATGACCCATTCATAATGATGCTTATTTTAGGTCGACCCTGCCTTGAGGTATCTTATCCATCATTGGCTAACCAGTCACCTGCCTAGCTCCAAGCAGGGTGAGGTAAAAGGGGCAGAGGTGATGCCCCGGCTGGTAAGATAAGCTTTGTCTCCTTAGTGCCTTATGGTCCCAAGGTGTCTTTACCGAGCTTTAGCCATGAGTGGTTACAGTTCCTGAAACCAGGCAGGGAGGTCCCAACAGGGCCCTATGGAATTTTATTAACCAATGTCAACTCAATAATTTCATACAGATTAAAAAAATAAAAAGCTTCCCTCCAGCTTCTAGGAAACACAGAGCCAAATCTCTAGTAAATACAGTATGTAATGTATGTACTGAATTCATCTCTCAGTTCCCTTGCTTCCTATTTCTTTCTTATATTTTATACTTATTTGACTCTTTATCATGGCATTTAATATAGCTCTATAAGTTATGAAAATAACA